CGCCTCTGACACATCGTGTATACTACATTAGGTTTCAGCTTTTTTCAGACATTGTACAAAATATGGACGCTGGACTGATTCCCAGGAAGTGCAGCTCAGCCCTCCACTAATAGATGGAGCCCTCCATGCAGGGGGCCACTTGCTGAGGAAGGTCTTACCGCCTCACGAAATGACAACCCCCCTCCCCCCCCCTGAGGATTCTAAAAAAGAAAAAGAAAGGAAAAAAAAACTCTCATGAACACATTTTATTCCATCTTATGGCATTCCTTTGTCATCAGGTCATAAAATGTACAAAAGGCAGTATTAAAGCACACCTTAGAGTGTTCTTTATGCTTGTGGTCGTGTAGGCACCAGAAGCACTAACACTTCGCGTGGTTGCAGCCGGCAGGGCCCAGCTGCCTTCTGCGCACTGGCGAAGGCAAGTCTCAGCACATGGCCGATGGCTTGGCCATGAACCCGACCCCACGTTTGTGCTGACATGGCAGGGACCGTGAGCTGGTCCGTGGGTGGGGAGAGGGAGTTCGGTCGGTGTGAAGATGCGGAGAAGGGCAACAAGAGAGCAGCCAGTCCTTCGGAGGGTGGACACCCGTGGCGGTCCCAGCGGCGATGGCTTCATCAGAGCATCTCCAACGCCAGGCAGATGCATGACTCTGTGAACTGGAAGATACATGACGCCGCTTGGAGAAGATAGTCGAAGACTTGTTCACCATTGCCAAAGCCTGGCCGGTGGCGAATTGGGGGGTCAACACCGGCTGCATGGCTGGAAGACAAGCGTCGACAACTGTCGACTATCCTCTGGCAGATTGAGGATGATCCCACGTGGGAGGATTTTGTTGATTGGCAGAGGGCTGACACTATCATAATGAGCTGCAACATCATCTTGAAGTTCAACGAGAGCGCAGAGCAGGGGGCAGAGATGAATGAGAGGCTGATGACTGAAGCTCAGTCTGAGGCTGATGTCTATACTCGTCCGGAACAGTCCGCTCCACGCTTGACATCATCATCATCAGCGGCCACATTTACATCAAAAGCGACCCTAACATCAACAACGACCTTAACATCAGCGGCGTCTGCATCAACAGCAGTGCTGCGGCCGTCACCCCCAGCTTGCATCACTGTATCATCTGGCGAATCGGGGGCTACACCAATCATATTGACCTCAACTATGATGACGGCTCCTGCGAGCATCACTGTCTCATCCTGTGAATCAGGGGCTCTGCCAATTTCAATAACTACAATTAAGACAACTGACGAATTGACAACACTGATAATCTCTACAACACCAACAGCGCCGCCGCCGACGACATCTACAACACAAACATCAACAACAACGACTGCTGTCACAGCTGAATCAGCTTCAATCAAGGTAAGTACAACTCCACGTCCGCAGGCCTTCCCTGTACGAGGGGTGGATTCAAGCGCCCTCGAAATAGTGCTAGCATTCAAATTTTCTTTCAATTTGTGTGCGCTCCTCTTCGGGCTGGGTTTGTGTTAACTACTGTTGCTCAGGGGAAACACGACGTAAATTAAGTTACCAATGAATTACTAGACCCTTTTTTCCCTGTTATCATCCTCTTTGCCCTGTTCTAATCTCCCCCACTCCTCACGGCACAGAATGGTTAAAGTAGGGTTACTTGAGGAGAGAAGGACAGAGCTTCAGTCTGCACACAACAGGGTTAATCCTTCCTTACTGGGGAAGCAATCAATGCCCCTTGCTCATGCTATATTCGTGTCATACAGGGAAGCTGTCTTCAGGGGAGCAGTGGCTGAGGCTCTTCCAGCTCTAATGGGAAGAGGCGTGTGTATACTCATTATAATCAATTTCGTAATTGGAGCCTTGGGCACGGGGCCCTTTTCTATAATTAAAAAAAAAAAAGACAACTGCGCCTGTGACCGCTGCACAGTTCAGAATTCGCAGAAATAACAGTCCACCGCAAGATTGGGCCGTGAGCACTTCAAAACAGCAAGAAAAACAGTGAACTGCTCGTTATACGGCCTACAGATTCGATAATTGGCAAAAACGGGACGTGGCCTGGCCTAGCAGGCCCTCCCGTTTTTTTTTGTTTTTTGTTTTTTCGTTTTTGGGTTCTGGCGGGAGTGGGTTCGGGCAGGAAAAGCCGCCTACCGGGGAAATTACGATGTACGCTATGAGGCCGGACCGGCGCGACTCCGCCGGCGCAAATGTTTGCGCTCAGACCAATCGCGTTCCGCCGGCAACGGAAGGAGTGTTCTGACGAAGGTGTCTACCAGCACGATAGCGCCTGAGTGGAGAGTGTTCCCGTTCTCGAGCGCACGGTCCCCGATAGGGGAACCTTTCCCGGCCGCGTCATGCAGGATTGGCAGAATTCGCGTGTCGCTTCACGAAAAGGGAAGCGGTGGAGCCGCTTCGACCGAGTGCGCCAGCTATACCTCCATCGAGCCCCTACGATAGGACAGGGTCTCGCGAGGTACAACTTACCTCCACCCGCGGGAGCTGTCACCATCCCTTAGGTGGGCGTATCCCCGCCGAGCTTACTGAACCACACGCGAAAGCTTTTACTTGCAATCGCGGAGGTGGCCCAGCCGAGGGCGTTTCTCGTATGCTGTAGCATAGGGGGTACGCGCGGTCCACGCCTAGCTCGGACCCGTACGCGAACCGTCACGCTGAGGCGCTGATCTCCCACGTGCGGTTTAGCGACGGTCGACTAGGACATCCTTACTCAACCACGCGACACGCGACAAAGCAAACTAACTAAGACAAACAAGTAAGCCTAGTCCCTTTTTCATACGTCCTGGCCCATAACTCAAAAAAGTTTTTGTGTCTGCGCGAGACCCATACAAAGTTGCATAAAATGAATGCAACCGTCAAGAGAATCATAATGCTCAGTCATGTGTACTCAGTTGATCTGCTATCATGGCGACGCTTCATGTGTTACCCACATTCGCGCACCCTCTCATGGGTTTCGGGGTTGCGTACGACACTCAAGTGTCGAAAGCAAAATATCGTGAAGGGTTCTTCCTTCACAATATTGCACGGCTGAAGGATAAGTTGTGCGGCCCTTGCACACCCCTGTCTTTTAGGTAGTGGGTGACCATACGCAAGAGGCGTAGGCCCAACTCAAGGGCAAAACCCTTTTGTGTTGGACCAGAGTCTGGGATGTCCTGGACAAGGACTTCGAATTTCAGGCTCAGGACCAACGTCCGACTAATAATTTAAAAAGCAAAACCCCTTTGAGATGGGATTTGCTCGTCCCTCCCCTGAGGGAAGAAACATAAGAGTAATCACGGGTTGGAGAGCAATTCGCCATACCCAAACTAAGTTTTGGTCTAATCAAAGGTCGAGCGCTAAACCTTGCGCTCGGCTTCTCCTGCCTGCTTGTTAAATGCGTGCGGCAAAAGCAAAATAAGAAGAATAAAATGGCAAGTCTCGGGGGAAATCAGGGAGAGTCATTCTCACAGCCATCGTTGAACCTTGTCACTCACACCCTGCATTCATTCATCCATATCACTCTCAAATCCAAGAGCGAGTCCTCGCTCCGATACATACCTGCACACACATGAAACCCAATGAAAAATTCACATCCAGATGCCACAAAACGTGGTCAACTCCTTTGCTCCCAGGTTCATATCCCACACGCCCCTTTCCGACCCCCACTCAACAAAGGCATATCCGCCCATCCCGATTCGCACAACTTTTGGATGGCCATTCAAGAGAGGTACCAAGGGTAGGTTTTCTTTCACACGGAAATGCCTTTCGCCTACAGGGTCACAAACATTTGGGCGTGGGTATCATGGTGGGTAGGAGTTGAGTCGCAAACTGACGTTTTATCAAACTGATAGCAGAAGTTGATGAAGCTCAAGACTTCGAAGAACACTCACAGGTAGCAATGACCTGCTTCACAAAGATCAAGATGGGCATCGCCTATCAAGTCCGTATCGCACTCTGGGCTACTTAGCAGCAGTGTCCGATAACGATGTGAAAATCCCGAAAATTTCGGCAGCACTTCCTTTAGGGAAGTGTGCTCGTAGAATATTTACTATACCAGATCTAAAAAGAAAACTCGAGACTCAGAAAATACCTGCAAATAAACTAACTCTTTGGTTTCAGTAGAAATTTCGGCAGCACTTCCTTTTAGAAAGGAAGGCTTCCAGAATTCCTACTAACTCCAATGACTAAATTATGTCCTATCCTAGTTGACATCTCTGAAACTTGACTAACTTTGAGTATCTAGCAGAAATTTTGGCAGCACCTCCCCTAAGGAAAAGAGGCTTCCAGAACTTCTACTAACTCAGAGGCTAGCCAATGCCATACCAAAACAATCATGCATGAAAAGACAAATGCGAAAACAAGAATGAACATCTACCTACCTATCGCTCAAGCATAAGGTGAGCACTAACAGACTACCCTACAATGCAGAAAACAGACAGAGTCTGAACAAACGACAAGTCATTGTCAGCCAGCATGTCATGTTTATAACGCATTCAGCCAAAACAAAGGTTCGTTCATCCAAAATTTTCGTCTTTCCCTTGTTCTGATCACAAAAATATTAGTCCTGTATCTTACTTAGCAGATTAATTTTTTGGGTTGTTCTCAGTCAAACCCCAAGCAATCGCTAACACATTAGTCTGACCATCCTCTCAAGGAGAAGGGTCAGACCGTTGCCAACAAGCAAGATCGACTGACTTAGCAAGGCGACCGGATCAGTCGAAACGACTTCACTTCCAGCCCCAGTTCAATGTTTTAGGCAAAACGAGCAAGGCGACCGGATCAGTCTGGAGGATCTCATTTCCAGCCCCAGTTCAATGTATTAGGCAAAAGAGCAAGGCGACCGGATCAGTCTGAAGGACCTCATTTCCAGCCCCAGTTCAATGTCTTAGACAAAATCAGCAAGGCGACTCGATCAGTTTGGAGGACCTCATTTTCAGCCCCAGTTCAATGTCTTAGGCAAAACAGCAAGGCGATCGGGTCAGTCTGGAGGACCTCATTTCCATCCCCAGTTCAATGTCTTAGGCAACAACAA